TATTTAGGCCTATCTATGGCCTTCAAAAAGTTGACGACTCTACATAGATAGGCCTAAATAACATGTTTTTAATTGTGTACCAGTTTAACGTTGAATATTATTTATGATTTTAGCATACTTGTGGTCATTTTGTTTAAAACTTAAGTGGAAATAGGGTGTTGGATAGTACGAGTAGAACTAGTAGAAAACATTGGAAACTCACCAAGATTGCCATCCATGTTTAAGACTTTGGAATTGTTTTCTTTTTTAATATTGGTTGGGAACCACTGTTAATGTTATAGACTATAATTATAAATAACACTTGGTACTACTACAAGTATTACTATTACTAGCATTAGTTACAACTACGAGTAGCCTTTGGAAGACTCCTATTATATAACCTTTTTACTCTTAGTTTTAGACCTTTATAGCTTTCAAAATTTAGCAAAATCATTGACTTGATTTGTGTAAAATTTGGCACGTAGTGAGTATGCAGTTAAAACTTAAACATTTTGATTTATGGATGGTTTAAAACAGCTGTATTTCCTCCATTTAATATTATGTCAGCTTAAGACTTGTGTTAAAGCAAGATAATTAGGGGAAGGTGTGTTTAGACTAAAGTAACAGATTTATTTCTTATCTTGAGGTTAGCCTTACCTTGAACTGTAAAATCTAACCTCTATAAAAGCCAGTGTGTTAAGACTTGTGTTAAAGCAAGATAATTAGGGGAAGGTGTGTTTAGACTAAAGTAACAGACGTTATATTTATTTGTATAGGAATACATATTTATTGTAGATTATAACATTTTTCTGGAGAAAATGTATAGTATTTTGTTGTTATTAAAATTAAGAGTAGCTATTTTAGTTAAATAATTTAGGATTGGACATTTAACTTTTATTTACATAGGTGTGGTATTCAGGTCCACTGATATCCAACAAATATGCCAAAAATTCCCATGACACACAGGTTCAGGACTGTTATTAAGCAAAGAATAAATTGAACATGGACAGTAATGGCAAGCAAGTAACCACAAATATGGTTTGAAACAAAAATTCTTTATTTACAAATACAATGTTTTGTTACCAACAACTGGCTGAGCTTCTTCTATATTGTCTAGTTGCTGAGGTTGACAAAAGAAAGAGACAGAGAACTATGGAAATACCCAACTTATATTTTCTATCAAAACAAAGTTGGGTATCCAACAACTTTAAGGATTTCATAATTCAACCAATGGGCTAAATGCAATCTTAGCCAAGTTTCTCTACTGCCTGGTTGAATAGGCCAACTTCAAAGAAATCCCTACAGAACAAATGCATGTGTTAGCTTGAGACTTAAGAACAACTAGCAGAAATGTCGCCTTATGGGCAGCTGTTTGTGTTAGGAATTACTAGTAGTTGTATTCATACCTCATTGAAAAAAATTTAGAAAAAGTGGACATTTTTAAAAAAAAATTTTTTCTGGGAAATACTGTACTAGAGAAGTGTTCAGATTGTGCTCTTTAGTCATACATAATTCATTGCATCAAAATGATTCAATGTACAGAGCTAAAATTGTTCATAAATTTTACTGATAAAAACTGTAATGTTTTTATATATATTAAAAGTGGTACTGTTTATTAAAAAATAATTTTAAAAACTCCAGTTTCTCAGTACAACATTTAAAATTTACATCAACAAAGATGTAATCAAAACCTCATGTATAGTTGTAGTGAAAATCGTGTTATTGTTGTGAGGAGAGTACTTTTATTTAAAATTGTTTTATTATAAAGAAATGGGTGTTGCACATACCAAAGTTATTTTTCTAATTGACTGAATCTTGAATACCTAAAGTGTGAATTTTCTTTATGGAGTTTTGTTTCTAGTGCTGTTCAATGGATGGCACAAGAGTTTTGATTACATACATAGATACTGACATACATGCTACGTCCATTATAGTAAGGTGGCTGCAATATGTAACCTTTTTCCTGTGTAAAAGGATTAGCACATGTTCAACTTTGAAATGTCCAATCAACATGGATGTGATTAACTACAAGCGGAAAGTGCATGGTAGTGTAGAAAAATATTATGTTAATATATATGAATATATGTCCTGTACTAGTTATGAAAAGGTTAAAATTCGTGATTATTTCCATCATGAAAATTCCCATTTCTTATCTTGAGGTTAGTCTTACCTTGAACTGTAGAATCTAACCTCTATAAAAGCCAGTGTTTGTCATGTCACATCATGTTTGATTTCTCGAAATAGGAGGAGTCATAAAAGCCAAAATACATTTATCCAGATAGAATATTTTGATTATTATCTGCCCATTATGATTTTAGTAACGGTAGAAAGGGGACCGTGAGGGCCATGACCACCTTATAAGTGTTGTAAGTGTTGGTATAATAAGCCTAAAGTAAAGATGTAGTGTGGGATCACATAGGCTAAAGTCAAGTGCATAAAATTTATGAAAGTAAAAATATTGATGAAATTTTAAACTTAAATAATTTCTGAATTAAGCTATTTTCTGTTATATCACCAATGTTTTTGATAAAAAACAAACCTCTTTTAATTAACAGAGACTAAATCAAGAAATCAACAAATATTTTACCAGTTTTGTTCTCTATGCATTTCATTTTATACTTTCAGTACATACACTAACAACAATATTAGTTTATACTTTTGTTGCTAAGGGACATGACATAAAAGCCATTGTTGGAGTGTAGTGTTACCCAAAATGCACTGGCTTTTCCATATGTTAGAAGTTGTTAATCTGATTGTTACCAATAATTATTTGATGGTTATACCACAGATTTATTTCATAAATGATCTTAAGTTGATTGGCTCACAAAGGAAGTTACCGACATTTAACTGCCTCATCTGCACTTTTCTGCCTCCTTGTTGGTTAAACTTGAATTTGAAAAATTTATTTATTTCAATTGGCTATGAAATATGAGGTTAGAATACAATATGGGGTGGGGGTGGTAGTGGTAGTACTTGCTCCATCATTTTTGACAGACTATATGCTAGTTAATGGTAATGGCCAGATCAGAAAATTTATTACAGGTTGCAAAGAGTGGTAAGGATTTTCCTCAGATGACAGACACACCTAAACATAAAAAAGTTAACACATAAAACTCCAGCAGCCGCTTACATAAACTACATTGAAATACAGCTCAAAATAATAATAATCATAAAGAATGCAATAAATTAAAATCATAATAAACAATGCAAAAACAAAATTACAAAACAGAATAAAAAATAATTGTGAAACAAAATGCACATTACATTATAATATAAAAGTTCAGATTTAAAATGCCTCACAAGCTTGAAAAATGAAATTAAAACATATAAACTGCAAATATAATTGAAAAAAAAATCCAATTAAAGTACATAACTATTGCTACGTTATGACACAGGATATCAAAGTTAACACTACAATGTATACAGTGTCCAGTAGTTCAGCTGGTTCAGGTTTTTCTCTTAAATGATGTGTTGTTTTCCATAATTTCTCTCTTTTTTTCGAATCCATCTTCACTCATTGCAACCATGGCAGGTAAATGACTTCAATTACACATGAGGCAGACACTTGAGAGATGTTAATTCACATCTGCAACATGATTCTGATGCATTGAACTTAAGTATTTAAATCCAGTGGGCAGTTTAGCATAGTCTTTACATGAGTGTGATAAGGTGTCAGTCTGTGGTTCCATGAACAAGTCAGGATTGCAAACTTTTAAGTTAACCCAACTTCTCTGATAGGTCAGAAGTTCAATCAGCAGTGTAAGGTTAAGACATCACAATCTAACAGGCCATGATCTGACCCTTTCTAGGAAAAGGCCCATTTTAATTAGGTGTAATGTGCATACCATGATTTGTGTCATTCATGGCAAATGCACTTGTCATTATGATGTCAGGACA